AATGAATTAAAAAAATGACTGACAACCTTATCACAAGACATGATACTTATTGGACAGTTCAGTAAAACTACAAATTAGCTTCTTCTAGCTGCTGTTTTTTTCAATTAACACTTACATCTTAAATAATCTGTCTGTACAATATACCACAATTACTAAACAACCCCCCCGGCACCTTGACCTCTACACCCTTCTGCCTCGTTACATACAAGGCACAGGACGTGACTCTTGCCCTGTAGAATAGACCAATGTGGATGTAATTCCTGGGCGAATGTGAGAGGACACTTGACAGGAGAAAGACAGGGATGGACAGAGTGAAAGAGAGGAAAATATTTCTACTGCGTGTGTGTGATGACAGGCAGACAGATATTGTCCTTGGCAGATCATCTCTGCTTCTTTAGCCAAGCCCATGCTGTCGAAGGTGTCCAACACACACACGCATTAAGAATTGGAGTGTGTAATGGGGGTGAAAATAACACTAGCTGCTGCCCAGTTGTCATCTGACTTGAGTCATCGGGCAGCCGGAGGGTTCAGGGTGACTTTAATGGTTGAAATTCTTAATAGGTTAAATTAATCCTGCTCTTTATTAAGGTCACTCTATAATTGGCATTAAATGTCTGTGGGATAATAAGAACAAATCCTCCTCACGCATAAACACACACACAAGCATATGCTCTTGTGCTCTAGGATATGATGCACTCTGATAACAAATCTATTGTCTGTTGTTGACTAATCCTACTATATATTCCCAGGACACATTCTAATGTGTCAGTATGATTGCATACGAGCATGAATTGGTTTCAGTCCCATGGTCTTACATTTTAGAGGCTTTTCCACTCTGCCAAGAATAAAACTCTGTGGGGAAATTTGGCCTAGTGGTAATGTGGGGAATAAAATTCTAAGCATAAAAATGGTAAAATCAGCAGCTTTAATCCCAAAATGTCAGTACAAGTTTTCAAAGCATCTTCCAGAACCCTGGGCTGGATTCAGGCTGTAACAGTGTTTTTGTTGTATTATAAATATAGGTTCCAGTTTAGTTTGATCCATAATCAGGACTTTCTGCCTTTGCTGCTTTGGTTTTCACCATTCTTTTTTAAATCTGTCTTTTGGAAGTTCTCCAACACTACTACATCTCCGGAATACCCCTTTAATTGTTTGCAGAAAGCCCAAAATTTCTATAGGGACCTTAACCTCTGAAATCTGAAGCAGGCTGCTACCGGACTGCGTCATTTAAAAGTACACAGGTCAGTGACTACATGAATACATGTAGCTTCCAACCAAAACAATATGTTCATACCTACCAGCTGTCTACTAACATCCAATCATATTCATGCAAGTTAGCAGCCATTGTAACCTGGCACTTGAACGCACGCGGCTATTTGCTGCTGCCGTTAATGTTTCAACTTATTTAACTTGCTGTCAGAGCTTGCTTGCTGACCACGGCAACCAAAACTAAGGAAAAGGATACAGTTACTGATGTTACTGGTATAGTAAAAACTGAAATTTTTTGTTCTAAAATTACACGTCAATGGTCCCCAGAAGATCAATCCCAGTGTGTTTGATGAACACTGAGCTTTCCTCTAGTGTTACCTTTTGGCCAGAATTTTGACATGGGGTCATCAGACTAGGTTTCAGACTGGTTTCATACTGTGTTGAAAACAACTGCTTTTTGTTTAATATTGTATTTTCTTGCATTTTCACTCTAGACATATAGTCATGCTGTATACACATTAACCTTGGCAATGTCTGTGTGTGTGTTTGTGCATTTAAACCCTCAGTTTAACTAAGATACTGCTCCAGGTATCACTCAAGGCAGCTTCTGCTGCTTTTAGCCTTTGCTTCTACGTGGATTGAGTAAGAGGTGGTGTGTGTGTGCTGTCTTTGTGAAGGCTATGTGCGTGCACCAGTAGTCTTGCATGTCATCGTGTCCGAGCGAGTGTTTTTTTGGATCACAGCATCGTTACCAAACAGGGGTGTACGGAGGCGGAGTCACGCTAAAGGTCAACATCATCCTCCTCGGCCTGTGTGCGTTTGTAGCTCGGCTCTGCTCGGCACTGAGGCAGATTTATTAAGCAGCACATGGCCTGGTGTGTGGTCTGAGGCTTAATTTGGGATTAACACTCAGGATATTACAGATTACCACACTCCACGTTCGACCTTCTGTGTGTAGTCGGCCAGCGGTGGATGGATGAGCTTTTATCTTTCAGTAGTTACAGCGACTCAATCTCGCTGCTGAGGCCAGAACCTCAGATGAAAAGCCTCCAAACATGTTGTGTCACACTGTCGGCATGAAAAGGAGGATTACACACCAGCATTTTCTTTTTACTAATTCACAGACATCAAGGCTTAACTCAAACCCTAATGAGCATCAACTTCCTGATGTTCCCAGAAACATGTGTTAGCTTCGCAATCACAAAAAGTAGTACATTACGTGTCACCTTCTCTTAGAATGAGAAGAATCCTGATTGAGGAAGATTTTGGAAATTGTTAAACTGTAAATAAAAAACAAATGAAAAAAGGGATATAGTACAATATAATATTAATAATTCCACACATTTTTAGTACTATATTGCATTGATGTTCATATAATATAGAATTTAAGGCCTTTATTTAAAGGGGCACTCCAACGGTTTTCTCCAGTTGGCACAAAACTACACTGACATTTAAATGAAAACAAGTTAAATACTTTTACAAATACAATTTATTTAATAAAAAATAACCCTTTTTGTACATTACTTGTTTAAAAAACTGCTACGACTGAATTCCATTTATCTGTTGTGAAAAGAAGGCTAGCATTGGGATTAGCCATCTCAAAATGAAGTGTGATCCTTCCCAAATTGGGATTATATAAAGTTGTCATGTTTGTCCCTGAATGCCATCAGTACAGCAAAACAAAAATACACAATTTGGTTGCATTATGGGATATGTAGGATACAGTGTTTTTGGTGCTTGAATTTTTGGGAATTTAATTTTATTTTTGACTTTTTATTATATTTTAAATTGCTAGAATACTGCTTCAAGAAAAAAACGTGACTGTGGTAGCATTATAGAAGGTGAGTTAGTTAAATGAAAAGTTAAATGAAATATGAAAAATGCTGAAAACCTCTTTTTTAAAGTTATTTTATAAACGATCTTGTGAATGTAAACGCAGGGATGGATATCTTTTGCAGTGCATGTCTCTCTCTTTCTCTCTCTCACACAAACACCCCTGCTGTCAACCGAGGGCCAACTGCCAGCTGCCCCCGTACTTCTCCGTCCTCATATATATTTGATGCGTCTCATTAAAACTTAATTGTGGAAACACTTCAGCATTCTGACATTCCTTCTGATCCACTATTTAGTCTTCCTCAGCACTTCGGAGCGAAAGAGCCCCCTCAGTCATGCGTGTGCGGAGAAAAGAAGCTCAACACAAACACGAGGTTATAAAGGAAGACACGCAAACTTCTCTCTAGAGCGGTGGCAGATGCCTGATTGGTTCACTGAAACAAATAGTAGTCTGATGCTTCCAAGTGCATTGAGTAAATGATGACAGTTGGTATTTGGGATCAGGGTAAACAGACGATAGGAGATGGTTTGTTAAACTTTCAGCACGACGGTTAGGTTATTCTTGTTTGTTTCTTGAGTTTTTGCCATGTTACATGCAGGAAATTGAGCTTTCTGCTCATGGTTGCCAACAACAAGGTGTTACCACAAAGGTTTACCCCTCTGGAATAGCCCATTCACTTTCAGCTACACTTTATTAAATTATTTAAATTAGTGCCCCTTAAGGGAAGATACAAAAACTTAGTGTCATTTTGCTTGACGCCTCTCCATTCGGACCGACAAAAAAATAAAAAGTTTGACTTCTAAATGTTAGAAACTGGACCTTTAAGTGCCAACTAAAAGTTTTTAGTAACTTGTGCACCTCAATACTACAAGGACATCAGCAAAAGCCTGAGACTTATCTACCAGTCACACAGAAACTTCAAGAAACTACTCATTCTTCCCAAATATTTACAGTAATTTCCGGACTATTGAGCGACCTGAATATAAGCCGCACCAACAAAATTTAAAAAGAAAAAAGAATTTGTACATATATAGGCCGCACTTGTCTATAAGCCGCAGGTGTCCACGTTGTAACATGAGATATTTACACAGAAAGATGGTACACAGAA